ATCTGAAAAAATCTGTGCAAGGTTTAAAATGAGTGGAGACAGTAGTTTGAACACTAAACTTCCAGTTTTTAATGAAAAAAACTGGAACAGATGGATGATACAAATGCGTGTGCTGTTTGGTGCACAAGATGTTCTGGATCTAGTTACAGATGGTTATGTACCAGCTGCAGCAGATGCAACTGAAGAACAGAGAACTGCTGAGAGGATGATGAGGAAGAGGGATCAGAAAGCTCTGTTCTATATCCATCAGTGTGTGGATGAAAGTGTGTTCGAGAAGATTGCTGATTCAACAACGTCAAAAGGGGCGTGGGATTTACTGGTTAGATGTTACAGTGGTGACGCATCAGTAAAGAAGGTGAAGCTTCAATCCCTACGAAAACAATATGAGAACCTGAACATGAATAGCAGTGAGAAAGTTTCTGAATATATCTCCAGAGTGATTCTGATCACTAACGAGATGAAGGCGTGTGGAGAAACTCTGTCTGAACAGGTAATCATAGAGAAGATTATGAGGTCGCTTACTCCTCAGTTTGATTACATTGTTGTTTCTATTGAACATTCTAAAAATCTGGAAACCATGAGAATAGAAGAATTGCAAAGCAGCTTAGAAGCACAGGAGTTACGTCTGTCTGAGAGAACTTCTGAGAGGGAAGCTGAGCAAGCTCTGAAGGCTTCTTTTGTCAAGAAAGACCAGAAACAGAATAGACGTGGTGATAGATTCTAGAAGTCAGAAGCCTCAACTTCTGATGATAAGAAATATCATAAAGGAAAGGAGAGGTATGACAAAAGGAAGGTTCAATGTTACTCTTGTAAACAATTTAACCATTTTGCCAGAGATTGTAGGTCAAACAAGGAAAGGAAATCAGAAGAAGCATATATGGCTAAGAGAAACTCTGATGATGAACCTGTACTACTAATGGCTTCTGATTCTAATGGAAAATGCTCAGAAGATTGGTGGTATATGGACACTGACTGTTTAAATCATTTGACTGGAAACAAACAATGGCTGACAGACTTTAACTCCAGAAGGAGAACAAAGATCAAATGTGCTGACGATAAGTATCTTAATACAGAAGGTATGAGAGATGTCAAAGTTAGAGTGAAGAATGGGAAAGACATTTTGATCAAAGACGTTTGGTATGTTCCTGGTATTAGAAGCAATCTGATGAGCGTAGGTCAGCTGATTGAGAAAGGTTTCTCAGTTGTTATGAAAAACAATCTTCTGACGTTGTATGATTCCAATAAGAAGTTAATTATGAAGTATGAACAAGGAGGCAACATAATATTCAAGGTAAATGTAGAAACAGCTGAAGAAATGTGCCTTAGTGCAGAAGGCGCTGAAGGTAACAGTAAGTTGTGGCATAAGAGGTTGGGGCATTTGAACTATAGAAGCTTAGGGCATCTATGTTCTAAGAAGCTTGTACATGGTATTTTGAAGATTGTGAAGCCTGAGAAGTCATGTGAGATATGCATGAAAGGCAAGCAACCTAGATTGCCATTTACATCAGAAGTAGCCCCCAGAGCGAAGCATGCTCTGGGAGTAGTACATTCTGATGTGTGTGGACCATTTCCAGTACCTTCACTTAGAGGAAACAATTATTTTGTGTCTTTTGTGGATGAGTTCACAAGAATGACATGGGTAACACTCATCAAGTTCAAGCATGAAGTGTTTACTGAGTTCCAGAAATTCAAAGTGAAGGCTGAGAAGCAAAGTGGTCAGAAGTTAAAAATTCTGAGAACAGATGGTGGAGGTGAGTATAACTCTACAGTGTTTCAGAAGTTCTGTGAGGAGAGTGGAATAGAACATGAGGTTACTGCTCCATATACTCCTTAGCACAACGGTCTTACTGAAAGAAGAAACAGAACTTTGCTTGATATGACCAGAAGCATGCTGAAAGAGAAAAAGCTACCTCACGTGCTATGGGGAGAAGCTGTTGCCACATCAGCACATATTCTGAACAGGTGTCCAACGAAGAAACTAAAGGAAGTTGTTTCTTTAGAGAAATGGACTGGAGATAAGCAGAGTGTCAGTCATCTGAAGGTGTTTGGCTCTGTCTGTTACAAACACGTTCCAGAAGCTAGAAGATAAAAACTGGATGATAGAAGCAAAGTAATGTTGCTGGTGGGGTACCATAGTATAGGTGCGTATAAGCTTTATTATCCAGAAACTAATAAAGTTGAAGTCAACAGAGATGTTGTGGTGAAAGAGTCTGAAGCATGGGATTGGAACAAATCTCAATCAGATTCTGGTGTAATACCAACACCAGAGTTAGCCTCTGAAGATGTTTTAGAAAGTTCAGAAGATGAATATGATCCTGAAGATTATGAAGATGAGTCAGAAGAAGATTCAGGAAATAGATTTGATTCTGATCCAGATGCTGATGATGATCTAGAATCTGGTGGTGATCATAGTTCTGGAAGGGAAAACTATGAAGGTGGTAACTCTGAAAGTAGTAGTTCTGGTGCAATTTCAGAACAAGCTCAAAGACCACAGAGAATCAGACAAAAACCAAGAAGGTTTGCAGATTTTGACATGTTGCAGGATAATGAAGTTGACTCTGAAGGAGAAGTCGTTTAGTGTGCCATATTAGTAGATTCTGAACCAGTGGGCATTGAAGAAGCTCTCAAGAAGAAAGAATGGCTTAATGCCATGAAAGAAGAACTTGAGGCAATAGAAAGAAACAAAACTTGGAAATTGGCTAAACTTTCAAATAAGAAAAAAGCCATCAGCGTCAGATGGATTTTTAAGTTGAAACTTAAGCCAGATGGTTCTATTGGCAAGCACAACGCTAGACTAGTAGCTAGAGGTTTTCTTCAGAAACCTGGGCTAGATTATTTTGAGGTGTTTGCGCCTATAGCTAGGCATGAAACAATCAGACTGGTGATTGCTTTAGCTGCAAACAGAAAATAGCCTTTAATACATCTGGATGTGAAGTCTGCATTTCTGAACGGTCCATTACAGGAAGAAGTTTATGTGTCACAACCTCTTGGATTTGTGAAAAAGAATCAGGAAGGGATGGTATACAGGTTAAATAAAGCTCTGTATGGACTGAAGCAAGCGCCTAGAGCTTGGAATTTGAAAATTGATTCATTTTCAAGAAGAAGAGGTTTCAGAAGTGTGAGATGGAATATAGAGTTTATGTACAACACTCTGATAACAATATGATTCTGGTGTATCTCTATGTTGATGACATTTTGCTAACAGGTAGTTGCCCAGAAGATATAAAGAAGTTCAAGGAAGTTCTGATGAATGAGTTCGAGATGACAGATCTAGGAAAAATGACATATTTCCTAGGGATGAAGATTTTGTACTCGAAGAAGGGTATCATTTTGCATCAGTTAAAATACAAACAAGAACTTTTGAAGAGATTTAAGCTGCAGAATTGCAAAGTTGCCGTGATACCATCAGAAACCAATCAAAAATTGGATTCTGACTCTGATGGTGATTCTGTTGATTCAACAACCTTCAAACAGTTGGTTGGTTCTCTAAGGTATTTATGTAATACTAGACCTGACATTTATTATGCAGTTGGATTTGTTAGTAGATTCATGAGTAATCTAAAGTGGTCTCATTTCCAAGCTGCTGTCAGAATTCTGAGATATATTAAGGGAACTATGAGATATGGAGTGTTGTTTCCTTCTGAAAGAAAGACAATCAGAATTAGTAAGTTATTTTGATTCTGACTGGTGCGGAGACAAAGTGGACAGGAGAAGTACTTCTGGATACTTGTTTAAATTTCTGAGAGGTCCCATTTCCTGGAGTTCCAAGAAACAGCCTGTCGTGGCTCTGTCAACATGTGAAGCTGAGTATATCGCAGGTGTTGTAGCTGCTTGTCAAGTTGTTTGGCTTCTGAATCTCCTGCATGATCTGAAGGTTAAAGTTGAGGAACCTCTGAAGTTGATAATTGATAATAAGTCTGCAATTGATCTTGTCAAGAACCCAGTGTTACATGGAAGAAGCAAGCACATTGAGACGAAGTATCACTTTCTCAAAAGTCAAGTGCAGAAAGGAGTGTTAGAAGTTCTGCATTGTAGCACTCAGAAACAGCTTGCAGATCTTCTGACAAAGGCAGTTAAAACAGATCAATTTCTTTGCTTGAGAGATAAAATTGATGTTGTTAGCTTCTGATAGAAATATCTAAATTAAGGGATGATATTGGAAATATAATTTAGTTAATGTCTATAATTTCCAATGATTATTCTTTAATAAGGTCTTTTGGCATTTTCATTTTTAATATAAATATGCTACCTAGGCTATCAATATTGTAACTCATTCATTCCTCTTTTGATATACAATAGTAGTCCTCTTTGTTATCATTCATTACTTATTCTTCTTCTCCCCTTTCATTACCTTGCACCAACACTCCCCATTCCGCCGTGCCAAAGGCTCAGTCTCTCTGCAATAGAGGAATATCTCGTTCTCCTAGTACCTCCTTTATCTCGTTGTACCACATAACAAGTTCCTTAAACAAACACATACTTATTTTATTTGGAATATAAGATTTGAGACTCAACTATTTACAAGTAATAAACAAGCAACCTAACCCTACATTACACACTGCTGCAATGAATTCATAGTTTCATATCCTAAGCAAATTGAGTAAATCATCTTCCCTTAATCATAAAAGGATTCTTAACAAGCATCACATTTGAATGGTTTCAAACTGACAATTTCGCTAAAGAAGATACCTTGAGTCCAATTAGTGCATGTTCGAATTCGCAGAGTTTGACAAAATCACAGCGACTTCGCAATTTTGTTGAATCTCCAAAAACTAGTTTTAACCAAAAACTATGATTCTGTCAAATTTACCGTCAATCCAAACATGTGTATTCTATCAATGAAAATAGAATATGACACAAGATCAAGCATAATTAATTAATAACATAAAATATATATATTCATAATGTCAAGATATAGATAGCTAAGTGGTAAATACTTATACAACAATATTGCATACATTTGAAACATGTAAAAAAAAAATTGAAACAAATGAATTGTTTCAGTTCTTGGCAAACAAGCCTCCAAAGCCACCACCCTTTTTCTTTTGTGGCACAGCCACAGTGTTCTTGCGCCCATTGCTAGTGGTTCCTCCACTCTTCTCCTCCACCTTCTTGAGAATAGGATCAGTCTCTAGCAACTGGTCTTCCTTCTGCATTCCTCCAAGAATCCAATCCAGAAAACCTTTCTCTTCTTTGCTACTACTACCACCACCTGTTCCCTTTGCTGAAGTTGTTGCAAACAGTCTAGTGGTTGATGGAGTGAATGACATGATTGTTGAAGCCATTTTCGGGTCTTTGAGAATTTGGAACTCAGCTGTGGAATCTGTGTTACTTTGAAGAAAATGAGGTGTGGACAGAATTTGGTGAGTTTGATGATAATATTAATATATGTCTCTTGTGGCTGGATCTTACAAGTGAATGTGAACCGTTGGATTTTGTTTTGAATGATGACATGGTAGTTTGTAGTACGAGTCCTCCACAAGTGCATTATCTTGATTGTTTCTTATTTTTTTTGGTACCTATAATTTTTCACATTGATGGAAAATGGAAAATTATGGCAAGTTGGAGGTTCGTATCCTTGATTCATGAGGTTGTGAGTTTGACGTGTGGCTAAAGTAAAACCAAGCCTTTTCCATACTCCCCTTTTGGGCTTTTTGTTGGTCAAAAAATATATTGGATCATATAAAGAAAGGATTAAGGCCCAATATATAAAAAAAGATATTACTTTTCGCATTTTTAGTGGTGCTCACGCACCCTAGTGAAAATTAAAATATCCATAGAATTTAAAGATGTATTATTGAACGCGCCTCATTCTACACCTCATCTATTGATAAGTGAGTCACATCCTCATTTTACCAAAAACTAATATGGAAATGTATTTTCTTATAACTTATAGAAATATACCTTCGGATGAGGTTTTAGTCAAATACGCACAAGTGCTTTATCATTTTCAACAAAATCACTTCTTAATCATTTCTCAAACTTCTATAATATCCCAAGTGATTTATCAATTCAAGTGTTATTTTTACTCCATTCAATCCAAGTGGTTTATCAATTACTTTTCAACATCCATTCAATTCAAGTACATCAATTTCAACTACACATTTGGTAAGTTTTTCAACCCAAGTGTTTTTTTCTCTCTTCATGCATTACGAAATAGATACATTAGGTTGTGTAAGAAAAATTACAATATTGGTTAGTACACTCAAGGTTAGGAAGGGACGAATTTAGAAATTTTGACTAGTGAGGACACAATAATTATTAAAAAAATATTTATACAAAAATGTAAGTGTTTTGTTGGCAGTAATTTTGGTAAAATAATGTCTTGATAATGTTTTGCTAAATGTCTTAACATTTGAAGCAAACTGTTTTGAGTGATGTCAAAGCAGATGTCTTGACATCAGCCTCTTGAAGTGAACGCATTTCATATCAGTTCATGTTTTCTGTTTCCTGATTACTCGCGCGCCATAATTCAGGATTTGTGACTCATAGGCTGCGAAAAATATGGAGAAATATTTTTATTTTTGAATTATCTTTATGGATTATATCTTGGTCTGTTTTCATGGAAAGATTCAAAAGATTTGAATATTTGTTTTTCAACCCAAGCCCACTGTACGCATATATAAGGACCTGCTTCCTTATTCAGAACACTAAAACTTTTGAAGAAGAATACTTTCTTTCTGTTTTAGAAGTCTAAGGATTTTTATTTGTAATACACTCTAAGTATTAGTTTAATACTTGAGTTGTTATTTGGGTTGTTAATTGTGTATCATTCATAAGCTTTTAAGCATTGAATGATTGAAGTCTTTTAAACTTATTATTTCTGTTGTTTCTTCACTATAAGTGATTGAAGGGATTTGAGGAGGGTCTCATACCTAGGTGAGTCTTAGGTACAAGTATAGCACGGATAGTGATTAAGTGATTAGATCGTAAACTAGTTGTTTACTGAGGGTCTATGAATTGATATTATTTAATGGACTTGTCCCTGGCTTGGTAGCCCCCAGTGTAGGTGTTGTTGTACGCTGAATTGGGTTAACAATCCCTTATATTTTTACTGCTTTTATTATTGTTGCACTTTATTTTATTCTCAGATATTTGTGTTGTGACATCTCATTCGACATCACATATCTGATACCAAAATTTTAATTGGTATCAGAACATGCATCATGCTCTATATCTGGGTGAGATCCAGGGAAGATACTTTCTGGTACTATGGACAAGGAAGGAGGATTTATGAATAGACCACCCATTTTGGATGGAAGTAATTATGACTATTGGAAACCACATATGGTTGCCTTCTTAAAGTCTTTGGACAGTGGAGCTTGGAAAGTTATTTTAAAAGGATGGAAACACCCTGTCAAATTGGGAGAAAATGGAGAACCTACCTCTGAGATAAAATCAGAAGAAGATTGGTCTAAAGAAGAAGATGAAATTGCTCTTGGAAATTATAAAGCCTTGAATGCTATATTCAATGGAATTGACAAGAACATTTTCAGATTAGTGAACACATGTGAAGTAGCTAAGGATGCATGGGGAATTCTTCAATCTACTCATGAAGGCACATTCAAAGTTAAGATGTCAAGACTTCAGTTGCTCACCATAAAATTTGAGAATGAAGGATGATGAAAGTATTAATGACTTCTATATGAATATTCTTGACATTGCTAATTCATCCAGTGCTTTAGGAGAGAAAATACCTGAAGACAAATTGGTGAGAAAGATGCGCAAGTCTCTTCCCAAGACATTTGATATCAAAGTGACTGCTATAGAAAAAGCTAAATACATTGACAAAATGAAAGTGAATGAACTTGTTGGATCCCTTTTGACATTTGAATTAAGCATCAATGAAAGATCTGAAAAGAAGAACAAAAGCATAGCCTTTGTATCAAATACTGAAGATGAAGAGGAGGACTGTGATCTGGATACAGATGGAGGAATATCAAATGCTTTAGCTATGCTTGGAATATATTTTAACAAAGTGATAAGAAGAATGGATAGGAACCAAAGGTCAAATGTCAATAACATCTCATTTGACATCCATAAGTCAAATGAGTTTGGAAGAAAAAGGGCTGAAGAAAAATCCACTCAAGGGAAGGGAATACAGTGTCATGAATGTGAAGGTTTTGGTCACGTTAGAGCTGAATGTCCTACATATCTTAAGAAACAGAAGAAGAATCTATCTGTTACTTGGTCTGAAGAGGACTCAGAAAGTGATCTTGAAGAATCTGCTAAGTATGTGAAAGCATTGACAAACAAATATGTATCTGATGAAGAGTCTAGTGATGGGGAACTAGCATTTGATGAGTTAGCTGCTTCATACAAAGAATTATGTCTCAAAAGTGCATAAGTGTTCCTAGAAGGGGAGAAACATAAAGCCCTTATAACTCAGATGAAGGCAGAAAGGGAAGAGCATCTAAAAACTATTTCAAATCTGGAAAGTGAAGTGACTTCTTTGAATTCAAACATTGATAGAATGGTCAAATCTGTCAAGATGTTGAATAATGGGTCTGACACATTAAATGAAATTCTTCAAGCAGGAAGAGTGACAGGAGACAAGAGTGGTCTAAGGTTTAATGAGAAAAGGGAACAAAATTCAGAAGAACCTTCATTAGAGTCTAAACCAAGAATGTCAAATCAAATGTCTAAACATCATGGTAAGAAAGGACATCATGGAAAACATCATGACAAGAAAAATTTTAATCACACCAGAGGGAATTCCCAGCCCTGAAGATGTCATCATTGTGGAAGGCATGGTCATATAAGGCCTTTCTGTTTCAAGTTGTATGGATACACTAAAACTACTCCTCTTCCCAAAACTGGTCAAAATCCCCAAAATAGCAAAAAGAAGAAACAGTGGGTTCCCAAGTCTAATGTTGCTAGTTTCATAGCTCATAACTCTCTCAGAGTATCAACCAAATATGACTGGTACTTTGACAGTGGTTGTTCTAAACACATGACAGGTGTCAAGAATCTGTTGGTAGATATCAAATCTCATTCCACCAGTTATGTGACTTTTGGTGATGGAGCAAACGGAGAAATTAAAGGTGTTGGTAAGCTGGAATGTTCAGGAGTCCCTAAGCTTGATGATGTGTTACTTGTTAAAGGTTTAACAGCTAACCTAATAAGTATCGGCCAATTATGTAATCAAGGATTCAAAGTTAACTTCACCAAGGAAGAATTTCTTGTTTCAATGAAAAGAATGAAGTTATTATGAAAGGAATCAGATCTAAAGACAATTGTTATTTATGGGTTCCTCAAGAGTTGAACTTCTCCTCAACATGTGTTTTAGCCAAAGAGAATGAAGTTAAAATATGGCATAAAAAATTAGGGCACTTGCATTTGAAAGGTATGAAAAGAATTATATCTGAAGAAGCAGTGAGAGGAATTCCTAAGCTCAAGATAGAAGAAGGAAAAGTATGTGGTGACTTCCAGATTGGAAAACAAAATAAGATGTCACATCAGAAGATCCAACATCTTACTACATCAAAAGTTTTGGAACTTATTCACATGGACTTAATGGGACCTATGCAGGTTAAAAGTCTTGGTGGAAAGAAGTATGCCTATGTTGTTGTAGATGACTTCTCTAGGTACACGTGGATAAGCTTTATTAGAGAAAAATCAGAAACTTTTGAAGTGTTTAAAGATCTCTGTCAAAAACTTCAAAGGGAAAAAGATAGTCATGTCATTAGAATCAGAAGTGATCATGGAAAGGAATTTGAGAACAACAAATTTGTTGACTTTTGTTCTTATGAAGGAATCAGTCATGAATTCTCTTCTCCCATTACTCCTTAATAAAATGGGATTGTGGAACGCAAGAACATAATCCTTCAAGAATCTGCCAGAGCTATGATTCATGCTAAGAAGGTACCCTACCACTTTTGGGTTGAAGCTATGAATACTGCATGTTATATCCATAACAGAGTCACTATAAGGAAATGCACTTCAGCCACCTTGTATGAAATATGGAGAGGGAAAAAACCAACTGTTAAATACTTTCATGTTTTTGGAAGTAAATGTTACATCTTAGCTGATCGTGAACAAAGGAGGAAGATGGATCCCAAGAGTGATGAAGGAATATTCCTGGGTTACTCTACAAATAGTAGAGCTTACAGAGTTTTTAACTCCAGAACCAAAGTTATGATGGAGTCAATAAATGTTATTATTGATGATAGAGGATGGAATGTTGAAGAAGATGTATCAGAAGATGTTGGAACATCTTTTTCTGATATTCTAACAGAATCAAATGACAGAAGTATTGATTCTAATCCACCTCAAGAAGATCCTG